TGAGCTTCTCTAATGTCAGCTAACTGAACTAATGTCATTGTGTTCCTGGCTCGATGGGTCCTAGATGAAGATTTTTTTTTATTTTTATTTTTTTTCCCCTCCTCACTGACTCTGAAAGCTCCCCGCAAGTATGGGTTATCTTATCTCATGCATCACTGCCAATAAATGTACCAGTATAGCACTCCCCAGTAAAACCTTGCCCTTGACTACACCTTTTTGGTTCCTTTGAATAGTAAAGGATGTAGCTTCATGTATTCTTCTTTATTACTGCTGTGAAAGTGGAGGAGAAAGAAAGGACAGGAGAAGATGCTCAGACTTGGTTTTCCATGGGCATGTGAAAATGCTATTGGATGGGTGGTGGTATTCTCTTAAAAACTTTTGTTTCGCTTTCAGAACAGAACAGTTCAATGTGCTATTTTCATTGTTCCCGTTTCTCTTTGTCATGCAATGTTTCCAGGAACACAGCATTTATTTGGACGATTGTTTGATAGTGGAAACATCTCTCTGCTGTTTGAGTGAGGAGTTCCCCATTCTGGCTTATCGAGGAGAAGGTGGTGGGTGCAACAAGCTTTTCCATACCCATTAAGGTGCAATGAAAAGCTGAGGTTACAGAATAGTCTCAGAGGTGCAAGGACTGATGAGTGAGAGTGTCATTTGTGCTACCAGCTGAATTTAGCGCTTTGAGGAAAGGCCATTAAAAAAAAGTATTTTTTTGGCTCCAACAATATCTAGACACTCGGAGAACATTAATAGTTCAAGGATGGGATGTAAGTTGTAGTGGAATTGTTGAAAGATTTGAGCTCTGAAGTTTGCAAGCTTAAGAGCGCAGTTTCTCTATTGCTGTGCCTCCAGGGTGTCCATCCATCCACGTTGGCTGGGTCTGAGCTTTCACTGACCATAACTTGCAAAACTAGGTAAAGCATGCTGCAGCCTGGCAGTATAGGGCTGAGCTCGGGCTCAGGAGAGTGGGTCCTCAGTTCCTCTGTCATGTGCTGGTGGTCCGTGTTGAGGAGAGGAGCATGAACAGCATCACATATGCTAAAGAAAGGGCACAGCTGGAACTTGGCTTTGGGAAAGCTCCAGTGTCCCCTCGCTGTCCACACTGTCCCTGTTCCACTTCAGGTGAAGGGGAATAGCTGCTGTTCTCGCTCCCCAGGACTGTCAGTTAGGACAACAGCACTTTTGCTTCTCATCTGAGCAGTCATGACCCAGAAATCCTTGAGGAACAATAAATAAGGAACCCACCTTGCTAGTTCTGAGTAATTTTTTTCTTCTCCAAAAAAAACCCCCAACTCTTTTAAATAGCATCATTTACACTTGGGAGCTGCTTGAATCCACCCTGTCACATAAATTACCGTCTCTGAACTCGGCTGTCAGGAAGCATCCTCGTGAGTTGACATCCATGGGGGGTGTCAGTGGAAGGGGATCGGTTTCGTGGAAAGCAGGAGGAATTCAAGTGTCAAGTGAATACGCTTGTCCTCACGTTACCTCAAGCAGCGAGGGCATCTCACTCCTGCCAGAGGCAAGCCCCAGTGTGACCTTTGCTCCTCAGACTGCCCTTGTTCCCATTCACTTCAGTAGCTGTAAGGCTGGGTCTGACATCTGGAGCAAGCCCCATCCTCCTGCATCTCAGGCAATTAGAACCTGGCCCAGCAAGTGGCCCTGGAGCAGGGGCTTCAGGGATGTTATAGTTTCCTTAGAGGGATAAAGGCCCCAGGCTTCTCTCTCTGCTCTGCTGCTTTCGCCAGCTTTGATGCTGCTGCTGTTGAAACAACATTGGCCCATCTGGTAGCGGAGGAGATGAGCTCTGCCAGATGATCTGGCTTGCTGGGAAGGGTTCAAAAGGCAGCACCTAGCCTTTGTTGTATTTCCTGCACGCTAACGAAGCCTGTGTTTTCTGGAACTGCTTTTTATCCTTGTTTTATGTTGTTTTTGGCGTGGATGCTTTTATTCCTCCCATTTGAAATAAGTGGGAGAAGAAAATGAATTAAATGCCAGTCCTCCCCCCCCCCCCCCCCCCCACAAAAAAAG